TCAATTTCATCAATTATACACAATTAACCCCATTTCAAGACCTTGCAAACACAATGGAGCCCAAAAATAGAAACCCCTCTTTCAATCACTACAAATCTCAAACCCTAACTTTCCAAGTTTCCAAATCTCACCATTATTCAAAACGACTAGCATTTATGTTAAAGCTCATAGAAATGAGTAGATTATCCCTACCTTGAAGTTAGGAGCCCAAAGAAGAAGAAGAAAGAAACTTAAGATGCTCCAAATCCACACTTTTTCAAATCAATAGGTAGCCCACGCCAAGCTAACCTTTTTACAAAGGGACTAGGGTAGAGAACCTCTAGAACAAGGTGCATTTGTAGAGAGAGAGAGAGAGAGTTTAGAGAGAGAGACTGTTGATTTAGGGTTTTGGAGGAAGAGGGGAATGAAAAAGTGCTAAAAAAATCTCGCTGCTGCTACCTGATATATGCAAAGCTCGCTCGAGCGAAGGAGTGGTCGCTCGAGCAACTAGACACAACAAAAACCTCGCTTGAGCGCAAGAAGCGTCACTCGAGCACACAATACAGGGCTTCAGGTCTGCTACCACGCAGACGCACACTCGAGCACAAGAGTTCTCGCTCGAGCGAAGGAACACAAAACATAGGGCTCGCTCGCTCGAGTGCAAGAAGCGTCGCTCGAGCGAAGAATACCAACGTTCAGGTTTTACAAGAATGCAGACGCACGCTCGAGCGTAAGAGTGCTCGCTCGAGTGAAGAGACAACAACCAAGGCTCGCTCGAGCGACAAAAGCCTCGCTCTAGCGAAGAAGCCAAAATCTGGGCAGCAACCACTTGTACTAGCTCACAACCAACCTGTTCCAAACTCGCCTAACACATCCCAAAGCTCAAATACAAAAAAAATTAAAGGATGAAAATGAGACATAGACAACAATAAACAACCACGGAACCCGAGTGTGGAACACAATAAAGGTCGGGGTAAAACCTGAATCGCTATAAAATGATCAAATTAAAACCGAACTTAGAGTTTAGATTTAATATTATTTAAATTAAAATAATAAAATAAAATTTAAGTCAAATTATAAAGATAAAAAAAAAATGTAATTTAACCAAAAACTATAATGTAGATTTACAAAAATATAATAACATGACTTCAGCTGCACTTAGAATCACATCTGAAACATTTCCATGGCTTCATCTGTCCCAGCCATCTGCAATGACATTAAATCAAAAATAAAAATAAAATTACACTTCTCAATCAGTAACATTATTATTATTATTTTATTTAATCTGCAATCGCTTTCACTATAATTAACTCCCTTATAACTTTAAGCTATTAAATCAGCATATACCAAATAATTGCCAAATGTTAACGAAAGCCCTTTATACATTGTTTAATGTTAGTAAGTGTGTATAAAGTGTTTTGAATATATGTAAAAATATTAAAAAATTCTATTGATGTCAGTAAAAATGCATTGAATTTAGTGAAAAATGTCTCGTATTCTTCAATTTTTTTATCATTTACTTGTGTCTTAAAAACACTTGTTAACAAAACTCTTAAACATAATTAATCGCATTCGGATTTTTAAATTTGTAGTCATGAACTCCGAAGTACTACAATGGACCTATTAACTAAGGTCTCAATTATCAATAAGTTGTTTTGATCAAAAAAATAAAAAATTGTCACATCACTGGCTCTATTTTTTTAATTTTTTATTTTTTGTAAAAAGTCAAGAAGTTGCTAAAATAATTAATTCTCAAACTAGCCCTAATTAAAGTTTGTTGAAATGGGCTGATAATGTTGCAATGGGCTTATTTACTAAAATTTTATTTGAGTAAATTATACTAATCTTCCCCAAGATTTTAAAAAAATACTACTTGTCTCACAGTTTTAATATAAATTATACCAATTTTCTTTTTAGTAAGAATATATAGACAAAAATTAATGCAGATACTATGAAGATACGAGATAAATATGAAAAAAAAAATACACAATTTAGTATAAAAGAGATTGCAACATCACTTTTTTATCCATTTAACTAACGAATTATTGATGAAAATATATCTAAATATTTTATATAAATTAAGACTTTAAGGGAGTTTACTGTAATTATGTTAATATTGTGAAACTTGATATATTTTCTTTAAACTTTAGGAGAGGTCAGTGTAATTTACCCATTTTATCTTGTAGTTTTGATGCAAATCTGATTTAGCCTTGTTGCAATTTTAGTTTTGTAATTTTTATTGGCATGACAATTTAGTAATTAATTGTTGAACAATATTATTTTTAGCTAGTTGTTAATTGTTGAACTGAACAATAAATCTTTTGCTAGTTGTTAATGGTTAAATAATATTGAACTATGGTTTCTTAATTGTAGGTCTAATTTTTCAGCAAAAATGTCATGACTGAATCGAGTCTGAATGGCTTCTTAATGGTAGGTTTAAGAAAAAAAAAACTATCATAATTGAACCAACTCTAAATGGTTGGGTCTGATTTCATTTTATAATTTTTATAACTAATTTAGTTTAAAATTTTATAAAATCATATATTATAGCGACCCCGGTTTTTCTTGCCGTCATTTATCGTATTCCGAACTCGGGTTCCATGGTGGTATGTTGTTGTCTATACCTTATTGCCACCCTTTACTGTTTGAATTTGAGTTTTGGAATGTCTTGGGCGTGTTTAGAATAGATTGGTCGCTAATTGGTCTAGAACCTTGTTGTCCAGAATTTTGGTCTTCCGTTCGAGCAGGTCTTCTTGTGCTCGAGCGGGGTTTGTAATCCTTCAGTACTTTGTGCATTTGCAAAAATACTGCAAAAGTGTTTTTCACGCTTGAGCGGAGTTCCTTACGCTCGAGCGGGTCTGAGCTTGAGCGGTCCCCATGGCGCTCGAGCGGTTGTAAATACTGGATGAGTGTATTCTATGCTCGAGCAGGCCTTCATTGCGCTCGAGCGGGTAGTGCCTTACTGTTGTGTCTTGGCGCTCGAGCAGCCTTTACTGTGCTCGAGCGGGTCTACTTTTTGTGTCTGACACTCGAGCGTTGAACTCTTCGCTCGAGCGGACTGTACGTATATCAGATCGCGAAAGTGACATTTTAAATCACTCTTTCTATCATTTTTCCCTCAAAAACTTTCCAAAACCCTAAGTTGAGAGCCTCTCTCTCTAAAATACCCTCTCTCTCTACATTTAGACCTAGATCTAGTGATCTTCTTACCCTTATTCCTTTGATAAAAAGTTTGAGCTCTTCAAGATCTCTATTTCATCCGAGTGGAAGTTGATTTCTTCGTCTTTGGAGTTTATCTCTTGCTTGGCTATTCTTCTCTTCTTGAGGTAGGGATATTCTACTCATTTCTATGAGCTTTGACATAAATATTGGTCATTTTGTATAAATGGTTGGTTTTGGTAAAGTTAGGGTTTGGGTTTGAAATTGTGAAAGAGGGGTTTTCTTATTTGGGCTCCATATGGGTATGTAAGACCTTGCAAAGGGGTTATTTGTGTATAATGGGTAAAATTTGGCCTTGGGTGCACTATTTGAGAAAAGGGGGAAAAAATGCCCTAATTGAATTAAGGAAATAATTTGTGTAAATATGAAATTGGCTTGAAAATCATGAAATTGGAGGAAATTGTGATTGAATGGTGTAGTTGGATTGATAAATCACTCACCCTTGGAAAATGTGATAAATTATCTGTTGAGAAATTTATTTTTCTATTTAGATATATGTATGTTTTGGGCTATCGGTGAAGGATAGTCATGATTGTTGTAGAAACCGTATGATGATTAGGTAAATTGAAACTAATCAATTGGAATATGTCATTGAATATGACGGTTGGATGTAAACATTGTATATGTGTTTGAATTGGTCATTGTATATGACAACGCGTTTAAATATATTGTATATGTATCTTCTTTGGGAGGAGATAGGGGATATACTCCAGTGTGTGGGAGGAGAAACGGGATGGACTCCATTGATAATTAAGTTGGCCGGAGTGTCCAGGGTGAAAGTCCCGAAATCGTACATCTATATGGGTGCCGGTTCCCTCGGACGTAGTTCCGTAAAATGTCAAGATAATGAAAGTGTATGATTGATTTTTATATGTGAAGTGTTAATAATATGAGTTGTAGTCTCATTTTGAACTGTTTGGATAATATTGAGCTATGTCAATGAATTGATTTGGATACTTAAAGAGAAGTGAATCTATTATGATGTAAATGTTGATTGGTTATGGAAATGGCGTAAATTGGTTTATAAGTGGTAAACATTTATCGGATGCTAATGTTCTAGTTAATTCTCATATAATATTTAGAATATCTCTACTGGGCTTTGGCTTGCCCTACTTGGGACACCATTTTTCAGGTACAGGTGATATGCCGCCTCCATGGTCTTAGCTTGGGAGGTCTAGGAGTTGTAGACTCTGTTTTGTCATGTGTCTTTTTTTTTTTTTTTTTTTTGTTAAATGTAAATCCAAGCCGAGGGCTTTTATGTATAGAGTTAGAACTCTTCTTTTGTTGTAACCAAGTGATAACTTGGAAAGCTGTAAGCCCGTAGGACATTTATTTGTTTAATATCTTTCGTAAAGAATACTCTGATGAATATAATATGTAACATTTCTATTATGTTTTATGAATTTTATGAATGGATGATGTCTTTTTTTTAGGGCGTTACATATATAGCCAATTAATACTAATTTTTTTTCCAAAATCGAATCAACCGACCCTACCTAACAAAAGATATGAACGTTGACTTTCTTTATTAAATCCTTGTCGCTGTCCTTAATACCATCCAATGGTAAAATAGGTAAAAGAATAAAACAAAAAAAACAAAACAAACACTACAACAAAAATTGGCTATAACCACCTTTTTTAGACAACGTTTTTCTGAAAAACGCTATGGAAGAGGTAAAGTAAGATTAAAATACACGCGTTATCCTCTTATGAACACATGTGCCCACAGCGTTATCCTCCATTTCTCTTTCCGTCCCATTTCTGTCTCTATCGTTTTCTCTCTCCTACCTAGATCTAGGGTTTTCTCTGTCTCCTCATGCTCCTTGAGAGATTCACCTAGGTTGATTTTGATTACTTGTCAGATCTAACTCTAAATCCATCAATTCTTGCATTGATTTGGTTGAAATGTCTTTACGGTTTTTTGTTTTTCTTAATTCTAATTCTGATTTTGATGAGTTTGCAGAGGAAGATGGTTCGGTTGAGTTGCACAAATCGGCGGGGTTACGAGACCGAGGAGTGAAGAAGAATCAAGATCCTCGGGAGAGTCCTTTTTGCCTCTGTTTTCATACTCTCTGCATGGTGAGAGTAAGGCTTTTTTTTTGTGCTTCTTCTTTTTCTTCGCTCTGTTTTATCAGATCTTCTATGTTCTAACTCTTCTCTTGTCATGTATGAGTGATTCGTTTTATGTTCTTCATTGATATGGACTTATTAGTAAGAAGATGTTAGGGTTTTGTTGCTGCTTTTAGTGAATTTTTTGGTTGCAGTGCTTGTGGCCTTGGATCTAAAAAGTTGGAGATTTGCCTTGATTTGGTGGTAGATTTGGAACTAAACACTCTCGTACAAGCTAGATCTCGCTATTTTGGCTGAAAATTTGCTTTTTCTTCTAACTTACAATTTATTCGAAGTTTTTTTGCGTGACTAAGTAATTTTGTTACTGTTTTGGCCAACTGTTTCTAGCTAGCTCTCCGAGTCTCCTTTGGTTTTTGGTTTTTGTTTTTGTATATTATGATTGGCTTAAAACAAAGACATACAAGAACATAAATTTGAATTTTAGTTATGCATAAATATTACTACCACTGTCATAAACCCTTAATTAACTGATTTTCAAAAACTATTTTTCAAATATTATCTCTCTATGCATCAGTAAAAGAAGATCACGTCTCTCTACCCTCCTAATCAAATTGTGAATATTTGAATTTGAATTGCATGAACTAGTGTCTTAATATATACATCATTGATTCTTTAGGAAACAAAAGTGTTAACACAGCTTCAGAAAGTCGAAAACACCAAAATGGGGTTCTCCCATTATATATAAATGATTTTACAATCTTTTGATCCAGAATTTGTGTTGTAGTGGTCATGCTTTCAATTAATGTTTGAAATATGGTTTGTAAAATGTGGGTAGTCATGCATCAGTTAGTAATTTTGGCATCTGGTACAAGTGGGTGTTTATTTAATGCAAATTGTTATTTGTTATTAAGCCTTTGTTGCTTACTAATGCAACACATAGAAGCATTGCATCTTAATTTTTATTTTGTTTCTCATTTCAATCCCTACAGTGAATTGGAAACATGTGATCACTTCAATTGTATGCTGGACTTTAATGGTTTCCCTGCTTTTCTACCTATCCACGGTGTTTGGGTCTGTTCAAATGCTTAGAGTCTATGGTGTTCCCTACATGGTAAGTCAAACACATTCCATTCTCAAAGTGTTCCTAGAATTCCATATGATAAAAAGAACGAATTTCAAATGCTCTAAATACTTCAATTCCATTTGATTCAATCCTGTCGCACATTTATCACAGATTTTTGTTATGTGGTTGGACACCGTTACTTGCATCACCATGGCTAAGAACAAAAGCTTCCTTGGTACTGCGGAAAGGTACTAGCAATTTTTTGTTCTCAGCTTTTCCAAATATGCTTAGTTTTAATCAATTCAAAAAAAAAAACAAAAAAAAAAACCTTCCCCCATTCTTATGTTTCTCTCTAAACAGGTTGTGTATTTAATGTTGCTATTTTAATATTCCATTATTTAAATTGCAGATGGTTTGCCTATGTTATGACACTCAATGTATAGAAAAGCCATTTAACTGATGATAGTTGAGAAAATGCAGGATTTCCTGAACCGGCTGGTTAGAGAACACGGAAGCATAGATCTTGAATGGTTGAGGGATGTTCCACCTGACAAAGTAAAGTAAGCCCACAGAAAATTTTTAGATCATTTCTATATGTTACGGAACAATTTTCGTATGATAAAAAGAACAATGAAACAAGTACTTACGGAAATCTTTTGCTTGTAGTGAATATTTGTTGAGTGTAAGAGGGTTGGGCTTGAAAAGCGTGGAGTGTGTGCGGCTTTTGACTCTTCACCATCTTGCTTTCCTAGTAAGTCATAAGTTAAAAGTACACGACATATCAAAATAATATGGATGAATCTTAAACATTTTACTTGTAAATCTTCAATAAGGTTGACACAAACGTTGGACGTATAGCTATCAGACTAGGATGGGTACCCCTTCAGCCGCTGCCTGAGTCACTGCAGTTGCATCTTCTAGAACTATGAGTATTAAGGGCCAATTGATTTACATCAGTACAATTGGTCATTCACAATAGCAAAGCTAATGTTGTTGTTCCTACATAGGTACCCAGTGTTGGAATCAATTCAGAGATATCTCTGGCCACGACTCTGCAAGCTTGACCAATGAACATTGTAAATTGATATTTCTGTTGGCATCTATACCCAAACTGATTTATGCATACTGTTTATATATATATGAATTGGAAAGAACATAAAATTATTTATTATTTATTGTTGAATTACGCAATGGCATTTACTCTATCTCTCCAATCGAATTTCACGCATTCTTTTCATTGCTCTATGAGATTTGGACCACTCTCTGTTTTTTATTGAATCTCATTATCTTTGTCACTCTTATCACATTTTCCTTATAGAAAATTTCAAACAGTTTCTAAAATTGGTCCTGGTGACTAGTTCGTTGGTGCTTTCCTATGCATATTGATGATGACCTATTTGTAGTTGAGGTTAGTATTGCTTTCTTATCCACTTCTTGTTTGTTAATTACATAACATGATTTTATTCTACAATTATATGTTGCAGATTATGTACTAGAGGGAAGTGAAGGAACTCCTTTTGCAGGTTTGATATGAATTGTTATGCATTTGTGGCACACGACATTTATTTCATCGCTGGTTTTGTTTGCTATTGTTCTTGGAACATGGAATTTTTTATTTTATTTTATTCATGAATATTTCCCACTTATTATGGTAAGGTGGATATTATTATGGGAAAATCAAATTTCCTCCAGAGTATCCATTTAAACCTCCAGGAATCAGGTATTGTGGATTTTGTCTCCTTTTTTATTCTTTTTTAGCAGCTTCATGTTTATTTTTATTTTTAACATTTTCACTAGGCTTCTTTAACTGAAAATTACATTTGTTTCCATTGTAGTATGACTACTCCAAACAGACGATTTATGACTTAAAAGAAAATCTGCCTGTCTATGAGTGATTGTAAGTGCCGTTAAATATCATTGGTCTAGGAATTATCTATTCTTTCTAATAAACTGATTTTATTTTCAACTCATTTCTATCATTTTTCAGTTCATCCAGAAAGTTGGAATCCGATGTGGTCTGTATCAAGGTAATACATTGTCATTGATGAAAAAACAGATGTCATTGTTTGCAACCATTTAATCTAGCGTCTGATGCTGACTAGAGTTTGTATGTCTTAAATGCAGCATACTTACTAACCTTCTCTCTTTCATGGTGAGATTCTGAACTTAGTATTATATGGCTATTGTCTCCTAACTATACAGGATAGATACACGACTAGATGAAATATGCCTGAAATTTTCTTTATGGACATCTCAATCCCATTTATTTACATACCAAACAGGCCTTATTCATTTGACTTTTGAGTCTTTGAGTTCTTGCCAATGACTGTATCATAGGAATGTATTCTGCATTCATGACATTATATAATACTCAATTTTTAACAAAGTATCTGGTTATGCATTGGTGTAACTGGTTGATTCACTTATTTCGATGAATGGAGGTTTTCTGCACCTTCTCTGCTTCCTCCCTCATATTCCATCTTAGGGTTGTGAATTTGAAAGGAAAAAAGTATTGTTAGTTTGGTAACTTCTAATGGGTCTTCTGATCATCTTCTTGCAGCTGTCTCCACTTTTATTTTAAATTTACTGAATGTTTGTAGACTTTAGGATGCTAGGCACCAACCTAGTGGGTTGGCCCCTAAATTGCTCGTAGCTATAATATCTGAATGTGCCAAAATAATATAAATGGGAACCATTTGCACCATAGCTTGTGCCAAGCATATTTTTCAGATTTATTGTTAGGATCGACTAAATTGAACATGCATCTAACCAGGAAATGGGAGAACAAAAATAGTGGGGCATTGTTGCATTGATAACTTCAAAGCATTCTATTGTGCTTCCAAGCATTCCTTTCCTGAGTGTGCTTTTTTTTTTCCCCCCCCCCTCTTGGATTGTGATTGTTGTGCTAACTTTTTGCTGACTTTATTATTGGCAATGATTATATTTTGTTAACTTTTTATTTTATTTTGTTTTTGGGTTAGTTTCTCTATTTTTTGATGACTGATTCCAGTGTTTTTTTTGTAGGAGTATTGGCCAGCTTGATCCTTGAAATAAGCATTGGCCCATGAATGAGTTATCCAATATTTTGATGGTTTTATTAACATTTTTTGGGGGTATGGTTTGTGCTTGAATATAAATAGGTAGGAAATGTTATAATTTTTTTATATTGTTTGTCAAATGTAAAATTGTAGCCACCTGGACGGGGAATTAAATTTGTTTGGTTTATTTTTGGTTTATTTTCATTTATGTGCTTCTGTATAGAATCCTTGCCTTTCAAAGTTGACCTTATTTAGCTAATAATGCAATTTGACAATTGAATATTTATTTTGCAGATTTTTTTTTTTTTTTTTGAGAAGCATTATTTTGCAGATTTAGTACAATGGAATTTATTTATATTTTTTTCTTTCTATAAATAGTAGTGCAATTTTTTTTTTTTGGTAAAAAAAAGAGAAAAAATGGCATTTTTGAAAAAACGTCACTAAGTGTCATCATATGACGTCAGCATTTAACTGTGACGGTTTTTAGATAACAGAGTATGAGAATTTACGGCGTTTTAAAAAAATGCCAGCTAAAGTCATTAGCGATGTTTAATAAATGTCATGTCGGCGGCCGTATCTGTGACGAAAGTTATAAACGTCACTTTAGACTTTAACGGCGTTTTTAAGGCTTATAGTGGCGTTTTTTAAACGTCGTGAATTCTAAAAATTCTTGCAGTGAAATCACCAGTAATATCTTTATTTTAGTTTACTTTTATAGAGCATCTCCATTTTTTCATCATTTTATTTTTAAAATTTTATGAAAAAATGTCTAAAAATATGCTTCAATCATTTTATCAAATTTGAATTAAATTAAGAAAGAAAGAATTGTTTCATTAAATCAAGAATGAATCAAATCATTCAACAAAAATTAAAAAAAAATGATATTTTGATGAAAAACTAAATAAAGAAACTAAAATATACATTTTATTTTGCCTATCTATTAATTCAAATTTATCCACCAACACTACTATTTATTTTAGTTCTTTATTCAAACATTATTTATTTTGTGAAATGCTATATCAACAATAATTAGCAATAAAGATGAAGGAAAAAAAATCATAAGAGTCAAAGATATTTTCCCAAGGCTTTGAAGGCTAACTAATTTAGCTAATGAATTTGGCTAAAGACAAAATGCTTAATTACAAGCTTAGTGTGTTGGAATTAAGAAAAAAATAATAAAAATATTAGGCATTTTAGCTAACAAACATTATATGTCTAGTGTGTTGGATATGTTCACAAAGCATTTTTCACTTTTTATTTCATGAAATTTAAATTTGATGAAAAAATGTTCAAAAATCATCTTCATTTTTTATTAAATGTTCATCAAATCAAGGGAGAGCCCTTTTTTTTCTTTTTTTTTTCTTTTTTTAATCAAATTGAAAACTCGTCAAATTTGAATATTATGAAAATTTAAAAAGAAGAATTGGAAATAATTTTTTTTTAATTAAAATTGATGAAATGTGAAATTTGTGATACAAAAAAATATTTAACAAGATTTTGATGAAAATTTGATGAAATGATTGAAGCAATTCATTTCAAATCAAACTTTTTACTTAAATTTTGAATCAAATTAGATCAAAAATTTAGTGAAGGGTTGGAGTTATTCTTACCCTTCCAAACAAAAAGTAAAAAATATTTTCTCACCTAATATTCCCAAGGAAAACAAAAATTGGAAGAGAGTGATTTTTATTTTTTTTCTTGACATTAAACAAGAGTTTATAAAACTAAACATCAATTGAACTAAATTCACACATATAGACAAAGAAAAGTTTTAAAAAATGGGTACCTGATGGTGATCGATCAGGTTCCAGGACTCAATTGATGGGTTTTGGCTCACCATCGAAGTTGTTCCCCCCCACAAGAAAACGCAAGCCCCTGAGACGAGGTCAAAACGAGGGCAAAGCATAGTAAAAAACAAATAACCATCTTTTAAAGAGAAAGAGATTGGAAGCGAAACAAACTCAGCTTGAACCTATACAAGAAAGAAGATGTGTCCCTAACCCCTCTAATAAAGATTTGCTTTGCATTCTGATTAGTCCCCCTCCTGAATTCGATCCTTGAGTAATCAATGAAGTTATAAGGCTTCAATACAAGGTTGGTGTCGTGGTTGCCCATGAATATTTTGAGAAGAGAAGATCTTAATGAATTGGTACATGTTTGCTGAAACATTCTCGTACTTATTTCTCTTCGTTCGTCGGGGGCCAGCGTGATGATCTCGCCATAGCATCCCTCCGGCGATTGGCTCCGTTTCTCTCGAATCTCCATCTCGACACCGGACAAGTTGATTAGCTCGGTGACTATTGTGAATGGAGTAGCAGTTGGCATTTTTGGGCAAATACAGTAACTAATAACTGAAATTTAAAGTTGTTATAAACTTAAAGCAATAGAAGAGAAAATGAGAGCTAAAGAAAATAGCAAATAATTAGAATTAAGAGAGTATATATCACTTTTCATGCAATCTTATCCATATCAAAACATCTAGCAAACATTTGCTTATATAGGCAAAATTTTGATAGATACAACATGTGAATTTGAAGAAGTTGGTAGAAATTAAGGATGGCAATGGATAACCTATCCTGTGGGTATCTATGGAGACCTAATCCAAATACATGGGTTTTTCCTTTTTTTCTTGACTGTCGGGTAGGGTAAGTGATGTTCTTAAATCTCCACTGGGGATGGGTACCCACTAATTTCCCCATAATTTTTTTTTAGGTACATCGGAAAATAATTTCTCCATATGTTTTCACTAGGGATGAGACTGGGAGTTAATGGGGGGGATATTAATTCCCGTACCCATTCCCTTATAATTATTTTTTTTCATTCCCCATTCCCTATTCCCCATAGGTACTACCCTCCCCATCTCCTAATGGGTATGGATTTTCCTCAACCTAACTTGACCCTTTTTTTTTTCTTTTTTTTTAAAGATTCACAACCAAAGCTAAATATACATTCAATCTTATTTTATTTTATTTGGCTCAACAACAAAATCAAATACACATTAATTAACATTGTCACATTATTCTTATCAAATTTTATGTACATTTAGAATTTTTTAAATTTATTTAGAAAAATTATATTCCTACAAAATAAAATTTCATCTTCTTTTTTAATTTTTTTAATTTTTTTTAAACTTTATGTATCTCCTTCTCCTCTCTAATAATTGATCTTTGATAATTTGAAGGTGAGTTATTGCTCTCATTTCCATCTTCTTCTTTTTTCTTTTTCTTTTTAATTTGCAATTATAAAATGAATTTTCTTCTTTCAATATCTCCTACAATTGTTTTTCTGGATTTCTCTCTGATTTGATGGTATCCTTAGATTGAATTTCCCAATTTTCATCTTAACTAGTGATCACCTTGATTGAAATTTTGTACATTTTTGTCTTTAATTTCTATCATGACCCGAACCCGCCCCTAAAAGTTTGGGTCATAACCAGCTAGTAATCCGTAGATTACCGAAGGCCTCAAATGATCATACAGAATATTTATGCTAATCGGGCCATAAACGGAACCATATAATAAAGAGAAGTACATAGAGTTGTGCCAATCATGAGCAAAATCATGGAGTTAACCACGTAACACAATAATACATATACATGTCCATCAAAAATATAAGAGATAGAGTAAAATCTTACATAATGTTTACAACCCAAGACTATGAAAGCATAACATAATAGGGTTAAAGTGTGATGTGAGCCAAGAAAAAACTCCATTTTGGAGGCATGACTTGATTGGGTTACAAATGGCTCCTAAAGCTGACTCTAGGGGTGTGTTCCATGCTGCTGATCACCTACATGTGCATACATAAAATTGGATGAGCGAAGCTCAATGAGTAATAATATAGTAAAACAGTGTAAGTAGATGATCATAAGGTTCTCTCAATATCCATAATCATATAAACCGAGCAGCCTTAGGCCCAAGCATATAACAAGCGACGTCGGACCCAATCATATATCAAGCGGCCTTGGGCCCAATCATATAACAAGCGGCCTTAAGCCCAATTATTTAACAAGCGGCTATAGGCCCAATTATTTAACAAGCAGCCTTGGTCCCAATTATTTATCAAGCGTCCTCGAGCCAATTATTTAACAAGCGGCCTCGGGCCCAATTATTTACCAAGAGGCCTCGGGCCCAGTCATTTAACAAGCAACCTCAGGCCCAATCATATTGGTATGTATGGACCCAAGAGGTGACTCGTACGGACTCTAGAGGTGACTCCCACAGTAGAACTTAGTTCCATACAACACTTTGTTTCATACTAGAAATCAATAGGTCTTAAAGACTGAACAATTCATATCATGTCATAGCATAAACGGAATAGATAAACGGAACGGCCTTGGGCCCACCATATCATATTACAACAATTCACATAACTTGTTCATAACTCATTTCACATTCCTTGGAAACTTGTGGATTTTGACAAAATACGATATTTAGAAGATCATGTCGTACATAAATCAAAATAGATAATGAAAACATATATTTACTATATTATTACTCACAGTGATTTCCAAAAATGGCTGACCAGTCCTCGAATCATGACCTGCAAACACAATGCGCATGACACAACATATCGGAACATAGAATCACTCTCTTAATCAAATTTACTTCTCTCAATCTTTTCTT